TATGTTCTCGTGCTGTTTGTAGCTACTGTGAGGTCGCTCTATCCTTCAGCGAACATTAGGGGCCACACCACAACAAACCCATTTTACACAGGTTAAAGACACACAACCATGCACACACACACTCATACTTAAGGACAGTTTAGAGAAGCCAGTTAACCTAACAGTCATGCACAGTGAGAACATGCAAACTCCATGCAGAAAGAGCCCAGACCAGGAATCGAACCCAGAACCTTATTGCTGCAAGGCAGCAGTGCTACAACCCAGGAAAACTGCTAAATAGTGTTAAGTTATAATCAACCCTGAGATCAGTTTGAAAAGTTTTAATGGATACTCAACACAGAAAGAAAAGTTCACTTCCTTTAAGAAGACTGTATTATAACTATTTATAGCCAGATAATGCTATTTTAAATAAAGCCTAAAATAGGCAAGGATATATGAGCATTTAAAAAAACATTTAAAGGATTCAACAGTGCTTAATTTGAAGGTGATAAATAAAGTAAAACTATATCAAAATCAGTTGACGTTTGCTAAAATACAGGAAACATGCATAAGGAATCTAGCTTTAAAAATCACATGAGAAAGCAATCTGAATTTTTAATTATGCACAGTAGCAGTGTGTTGTCAGTCATTAAATGTTACTGACCTGCCTTAGTCAATACAGAGCCACTAAAGAGTTTTTGCTAGGTTTATTGAGACTTTTACGAGCAATGTTTAACTTTTAACAATATGCATTAGGCACTGAGGCGATAAACCCTGTGCTCACTAGAAAAACAGGAATCTGTGATGGGACTTTATTCTCTCAAAGGTCACCAGACTGACTCATTTATTTACTCAGATTATCAATCACTTGTTTTTGTCATAATGGTTTTCAAAAGAAAATGCATGGCTTCTTAGAAAAAAATATTTTGGCTTTCTTAACATTTTCCCAAAAGTGTCATTTCTAGGTAATTATTCTCTTTTCTCTTAAAATCCACACAGCTTTAAAGTTTTTTTATACCAGGGGATTGGATGATTCACAGTGTTTTTTTCTTTTTCTTTTACTGTTTCTTATTTACTACAGAGTATTTTTATTTCGCCTGTTTTTACCATACTTGTATGATGCACCATTTAAGACTCAAATTTGTTGTTTTTTATGCATAACCCATGATTGCATGTTGTTGCTCATGGCCATCATTATAGCCGCAATATGAGAATTGCATTGCTCATGATCTCGTTTTCTATGTCTCTGTGTTGTTGCAGCCTTTATCAAGTCTGATCTGCGGAGACAGAATGCAAACCAACTTGCCAAAGAAGAGGTAAGTGTTAAAGTGAGGTAAGGGGTGGTGACCTGGTCAATAAGAGAGAAATAGATAATGGGGACATAAAGTAAAAAAAAATGGCTTGATAATGAAGGAGATCAGAAAAAAACCAAAAACAAAACAATTATATATAATGTTAATGCCTTTATTTGGAATAGAATTTACAAGAAATAACCAATAATGTTAATGTATTTTCATTTTATTTATGTGAGGTATTTTGCAAACAGCTTTATTTAAACATATAATTGGCATTGCTGCCATTTGCTGAATAAAACAAAAGAATTAAATGACAAGTTTTGCGATACAGAGGTTTTAGCTAACATACACTGTCCAACCAAAAAAAGAAAGAATCCTAGTTATTGTGATGATAACACACAAAGGGGTGTTACTGTTTTCAGAAGCTTACACTATCTAAAGATCAGATTTTCCAATATTGTATTTTAAAGTATATATTTTAAAACCTGAGATCGATTCAAGTTACAGAACATTGTTATTTCTCTACAATAAGTCTTCAATCTCATTGATACTAAGTCACTTAATGCCAGTCATCTATGTTTTTGTCAAGATTTACACCACTTACAGACCAGGGAGTACCGATAGAAATACTATAGCATTATGACATTATGACTACAGCAAGTGCATTTAAAGGATTAACTCATTGTTTCTAGTATCTACAGTGTTGTCCCTTTTTCATTAAATAAGATAATTAATATAAACAACTATAATCGTTTTTTAGACCCTACTTTGACCAGATTAAAGATACACCACAGAATTAAGAAGTTTCGATAGTCTTTGCAGGGTCATATGTGGTGCATGAAGAACTTATTGAGCTCTCCAACTTGTTATGTTTTGACCATGCTAAAACCTTCTATAAAGAGATTGTTCTCTAATATGGCCAAATATCTGGGTCCTGGTTGTGCAGCGAATTACCCTAGTTCTATGAAAATGGTCCTGTGTGCTGACCGTTCTGCTTCCGGTTGCATGGTGACTATATAGGTTTCCATCTGGGTGCAACAAAAAGGATTCCATCCAGCAAGGAAAATACAAAACTGACCCACAATCTCCATGCTGGTAGTTACAGTGACAAAAGCAGGTCCTTTGTACGTAGAGATAAGTTAAGGTGGGGCTTGCTATGAAGAGAACACAGACACGCTCACCTCCAAATTGCATAGAGACTACTTCCTAAGAGATCTAATAAGCATTGAGACAGTATGTTTATGATACAATTTTCAAGTGTGAAGCACAGAAACCCCCTTTACCTGCAAAGTCTTCTGCTGTTGGTAAGCTACTGAAAATAGTAATAACATTTATAGATACCTTTAAGACACAATCCTCAGACGGGATAAAATCAACCAATAAGATGAAAAATCCCAATGGATAAAGTGCTTGAGTCTAAACCTTCCCAGCATTGCAGTAACTGATGGAGGAGGTGCAGAAACGTTTTATGTTTAGAGTTAAATTGTAAAAAGATGAAAACTCTGGTGGTGCAATAGCTGTAGGTTTACCAAGGAATTATCAGTGAAACAAATCCAGTATTTGGGGAGCAGGTTAAGCAGACTAGTGTCACGATTCACTTCAGTTTGAAAAGAGCTTTTCAAAATTTGCCTTTATTTAGCCCCATTTAAAAGCATTACAGTCCTGGAGACCTTAGGTGATAGTATAAAAGAGGCTCTTAAGAATTAAAAGTGTGTCACTTTTTTGATCAGGGTCAAATTAAGGTTGAAGCCTACTTATCACTGGAGCCTCTTAATTGCTTTGTTAAATTTGGACGGGGATTGCGTTTCTTTATTTGACTGGGCAGTGTGTTTATTTACATCTACAAACAAATCTAGAGATTCTGCTCTTGTGATTCTCCCTGTTCTTTTACTATTCAGTCATGTTTTCTATGATTCTGGATGGGTCTCCAAGCTTTGTGGTGAAGTTACTGCTGGATACTGACATTTTTAGTTTAAGAACAAATTACTCAATCTTTGTGAACATGCCCTTTTGCAAGCTTTTGTAAATTCTCAATCATGGCGACCACAAAACAGGCTTAAATCTGAGACAACTTTGCTTAGCTTTTCTAAAGACCTTTTGACAACGATCCAGGTTTCTTTGTAGATTCCGCTGGCTCGTAATATAGCTGACTAGAGCTCTAGTTATTGCGAGCCAACAGAATCGACAAAGACTGCTGGATAGGTGTCAAAACATCTTTAGAAAAACAGAGCGAAAGACCGCACTTTCTCAAAAACCGCCACTGACTCTGAACTTTTTCTTAAACTGTCATAAAGCAGAGTTTGATCTCCACAGAACAATTTCACTGGCTTCGCAAATTCAAATTAATTCATCCTCAGTCAGTTTCTCCTGAACTTCAACCCAGACTGGAGCCTCATTCTTTTACAATTGCTGAATGAGAAGTGATCGGCAGCTGTTGTTTTAGGCGGAGAAGCGGATGTTGGAAATAGACTACGGAGCAACAGCGCAAATCTCGTCCCAGCCACAAACTCCTTCCTCTCAAGTCTGATCAAATAAAAAAATTTCTGTGTACACAAAAAAAATCTTCTCAAATTTTAGCTCAACACAGAATCAGAAAGGTAGGAGCACAAAACAATCACACACCAATGTTGATGATCTTGGCACCTTCTGTACACTCTTCACTGTGCACTGTTGTATACTCTCACTCTGTCTCTTTGTGATTTTGAAATAAATAGATTCACCTTAAACAATACATTTCACTAACTTACTACTAATAAGCAGGTTTTGGGCATGTACCAAGTATGCAGAAATCATTCATATCAAATTTAAAGCTTTTTACCCTTATTTATCTTTTTAAAGATTTCTGTATTCTAATTTAACATTTGGTGTGTTTGTGCATGCATAAAGCTTAACTTACTCCACTTCTGTAAAAGGGTTTGTCTAACCAAATATACCATTTCAGGTGCAGCTCAAATGAATCCATCAACAATGTCATACTTATAATTCTCTATTTAACTACATTCCTTTTAAGCTTTGATATCATGTCATCATCCTTCCACCACAGTGCTTTAATGTCAGCATCGAATAACATTTTGACTATTACTTCAAGTTTTAAGTTACCACAATTTTATGAGGTTTCTACATTTTTTTTCAGTTTTTTTCACATGCAGCAACCATGCAAACAAACATAAACTAGGGATCAGCTCCCATCTATGTTTGAATACTGGGAAATTTTGAGCATGAACAATCTTTGCACTTCCTTAACATACAGTGCCTTTTAAAAGTATCATACCCTTTTTACCCGTTTAATGTTCTACAGTTCCACAGCCTCAATTTCCATTTTCTATGCAATATAATCTAGAACAACACTGCGAAGTTTCAAAAATAACATCTGAAAAGTGTGTGGGCCTATTTTTACTGCTTTACGATTATTGGGATACTATCTCTCTATGAGTTTTGATATTGATTTACCTTTCCAAAAACTTCATCCAATTCCAGATCATCTATGAATATAATTTCTTAACTCTAACCAGTTGTTTGTAATAGATTTATGCCTGAACTTTGACTTCCCCATTTTAAAACATGAATCCCTTTGGATTTTATCGTATCTTTTTTGGCCACATGGTGAAAAAAGTATTCGTTTCTTATCTTATCTCACTTTCTTTCACGTTTGCCCTTTTCCCTAGTTGGCCTATGCCATACTGCTAACATAAGGCCTACTACCTTTCTTTTTGTCTCTATTCCACAAACACAGAGTACCTGATTAATTGTTACCCGGACAACAGATCCTTAAACTGGAGATGTGGATCTCTGCAGGTCTGACAAAGTTACCATGGCCTCTTGGCTGCTTGTCTAATAAACTAACCTTTCTTAGATTATGTTTTAATAACCGATTACAAGTTTAGTGTCACACGGGTTAACTGTCCCCTGTGCTAAACGTAAAGCTATCTCGATGGCAATGTTATTAGAGTATTTTGGTGATTATATTTCAACATTAGTGAGAGATTACGTGCATGTCACCAGTTTAACATGTAATCTTAAGGCTATAACATAAATTTGTCAGGATTTGTGAGACTATAGCAGGACCAAAATGCAGGAAGTGGTTGTGCCTGAATGTCCGCCCTAACCCCTACATAGGGCACTATACTGTATAGTGGTTATACCACTTTATATGAGTGTTCCAATGTCTAGTGGATGAAAAGTAGTGGACTAAAAATTTCTTACAATGCACATTGAAAAGTAGTGATCATCCATGGTCACTAGACGAGCAGATATATCCCGGAATGGTTTGCGAGAGCTCTCCTGGCAAAGCATCAGTTTGGGGGTGAGTGTAAACAAAGATGCTGCAGGGACCGAAGTCACCTGACCAACAGGGAGTGAAAAGTAGTGATCATCTCTCCGAACAGTTTTAGGTCCACTATATAGTCCCCACTCTATATAGTGATTGAGGGTTTATGTCAAGGTTTTGGTTCTTTTTAAGTTTTGTTTTTGAGTTTCTGTTGGTTTTATTTCCATTTTGTGTTATTCTAGTTGTTTTTAGTTATATTTGTGAGTTCTTATGTATGTCTTGTTTACCCTCTTGTGCCCTCTTGTGTCACTCTCCTTCTCCTAACTCCCTTCTAGATTCTTCTGTCCACACCTGCTCCCAATCTGCTGATTAGCCTTGTCTTTTCGTTCAGTCTCTCATTTATACTCCTCCTCTTCTTTAGTGTTTGCTGGTTTCTCGTCGTTACTTAGCTTCTCTTGTGGGTTTTCCCCTGTCGTCTCTTGTATTTTTTTGGTTTTCTATATTTAGTTCTTGGATTCTGCCTATGTTGCCTTTGGAACCTTCATTAAATCATCTCTGCATTTGGGTCCTCAACTAACTTCCACCAAACCTGACAGGTTAGGGGTTAAGGCGAACATTCGGACACAGTCAGAGACTTGGAGCCAGCATAAAAAAGAAAAATATTATATGAATACAATTTGAATGATCGGACTCAAGAAGCAAAATAGGGAATGTGGTAGAGATACAAACCGTATGACAGTAACTGAACAAACAGTTGTGAGCATTTGAAATTAGGGGGCTTATATACAGAAGGAGATGTTTACAGAGGCGTGGAAAAAAGAAATGAGCAATGTGCTGCAGATTAGGAAGAGCTCAAGCTAATGAATGCAAAGGAAGCTGGGGTAACTGAGTAATAAACAGGAGCAGACAGAGAGGAACAAAGAAAAAAATCTACTAGAGTTGTTATATACAAAAAAAATGGACCAACTAGGCAACACAGAAAAAAACAAACAAAAGACTCAAGAGACTTCCAGAAACTGAAATACCCAAGGATCCTGACAGAACAGGCTTGTAATTAAACCCTTCCTTTCATTTCAAAGTACTTCAATTGGACACTCTCAGTGAAATGTGTTTGTTTCAGGGTTCAGCCTCTAGATTAGGTGACTTTTTCTTGTAAATATAATATTAGTTTCTGAAAGTTATATTTGGCTGCCTGTTTCTTGTATCTTGTATCTTGTATTTCTACTGAAAATAGCAACTAGTGAGAAGTGTGACAACCAACCTGAGATAAAAAAAAGGGTTCATGAACAATGTTAGCAGTATGCACATCCTCTCTATCAGAACACCTGCCATCATTTACTCCAGCAGAGAAATGCAATTTTTCCGATTCAAGCAAATTATTGCGTGGTTTCTGCTGTTCAAGAAGATGCATGGAAAAATAATTAAAACAACTGTGGTGAAAGGATTTCGTTTTTTTCTATGTACTTTTTAATGTTCTTAATGTGGAACAATGTTAGTAGCCATGCCTTTTGTGTTAATGTCTACATAATCTTAAAGGTATAGTGGAGGATGTTCTTTTCCGGGTGGATCATCAAAATAAGCGGTCCTCCTGATTGTCAATCATTCTGGTGATATTTTTACGTAAGGCCATCCTACGTGCTCGTCCCAATTTTCATTTACCGGTGGTGAGTCTGACATAGTGGAAAAATTGCAAATCTTCTTTTGGAAAGTGAGCTTGTATGAGCGATGCAAACAGCAACTTTTAAACAGAGCGTGCACGAGGAGAAATAGGCCGACCCATGCTCTCACACATGTTTCGGCGTTTCCTCTCAGGAGTGGGTACAGGGTTGTGCATGTGCGAGTGGAGAGGGCGGGTCTTTTTAAAACTTTGCGAAAATCCTCCACCTTACCTTTAAGGAAAAGAAATAATGTAGTAAGAGATTTTGGTGAAGTGGCTGCTATTGTTGTAAATAAGACCTTTGTGGTAAATCCACACATCTCTTTTGATTCACAGGAACCTACCAATTACACTACAGAAAACTTGGACTCACCCACCATCATCAAAGAAGTCCAGTTTTAGGGAATTACATTTCCTATCAACATTTTATATGAAGAACTGAAAATCATAAAACTTCCAAAACATTTTCCTTTTGAATTGACCAAGACAAAGGGTTGACTGTCAGTATTTTTTTTCACGTTAATTACAAATGCCTGGCTAAAATAAAGCAACAAAGTTTGATATTTTGTTGAACCACTTTTAGATTTGATTGCATCACATATTAGCTATGGCATTCAAGTGTATAATTATGTCTAAACTGGCAATGTGATCTTTGGGAAGAGAACAGAATGACTGTGAAAACCCAAAACTTTTTGTTGTTGTTGTTGCTGTTCTGCAGACATCATAAGTATTTAAATACTCAACTAAATCCATGACAACATGTGCAGCTGCTACTCTGTTCAATGTCACAGGACCGGTTTAAAAAACGGATAAATCCAAGTTGTATCAGTGAAGGGACAGTATTAACTTTAGTTTTAAAAGCTAAATGGCTTATATCTATGTAGTCCTTTTTTAAAGACACCCTGACCATTCAATGCACTTTAGACAGAGCCAATTTCACCGGATCACATTCATGTACCAACACATAATTCTGATTGTTCCACATTAGAACACAACATGGTGATATATGTATTGGTCAAGGGAGACAATGACATGTAGCAAGAATCAATCCGATATTTGTTAGAGTTTCTACTGAGACACAGTCATCAATCTCCCTGTAGACATGCAGATCATTTTCTGGAGCCCCTGGAAAGGCGCGGTAAAGGTCCTCCATATAAATGATTATGAACATTTGGGAGCCATGTGAGGGTTCTTAGCTTCAGTTACCTTGAGTGAGAATTATTTTATTTACCTCATCCAGCTTTGTTTCTCACAGGTACAGCTATTTTACATCTTTTTAATTGAATTCCTCTTTAAGTCTGTTCTCTTGTAAACACTCTAGTGTTTTAAATTCTCTACTATTTTTTAAGAGTTAGAGAAATTGGCCTCTATCCCATGATATCTAAAACTCATTCAGAAAAAGAAATGATGGATTACCAATTAAAAGCACTTAAACGCTGATTAACTTTAAACAGTAAAGGATAAATGACAATCACACTTCAGCTATCGTTTTCAAAACAATAGCTGAACTTTAACAACTTTACTTGTTTAGTTTCCATTTTAAGGTTGCATTTCTATAAATTGTACTGTGAGATTATGTCCTGGATAAAAAAAAAATATAATTTAGGGCCTTTAACTTTTTTCAAATGGTTTAAATTTGTGTACAGTGAAGTAAACGATATAATTTTGAGTCTTTTTTATTTCCTAAAAGTCATGCATATAAATAATTTGCAACTTTAGTTTTGAATGCGCAGAGGTTAATCTAATTTAAATTGAAAAGGACTAATGCATCAATAGAAGATTTGACATAGAAAACATCGATTTTCCAGCAACAAATAAATAAAACATTCACACCAATGATAATTTTAGTTTGACTTATCCTAACATTCACATTTTTTCATTTTATTCTGTTAAAAAGATGTGCATGTTTTGCTTTTTCTAATGTAGGAAATGTCCATCAAGAATATTTTCAAGGTAATTGCTGACAGTTTTAGGTGTGTAAAATGTCAGATTTTATTTTTTATATCTTCCCTTAAGTACAAAATCTGCTTAAATACATACCGATCCTTCAATGATACAAATGTCTGTATTTTTTAACATGTCCTTTTTGTGTTAGGTGGTCTCTTTTGTTAGTTTACAATAGTTTTATAGACAGCCACTGTGATAGTTTCCCCTACATAGGGTAATAGATACTACTTTCTGCTCTTGAAAAAGTATTTTCTAGAGTTAAACTTAGATACTAAAACTCACTAAACAAAGTCTCACTTGTTTTGATAGAAATGTTATTGAACTTTAACACTGTTTAGTTTTTGCTAGAAAAAGTAAGCAAGTAGTTAACTGAGAGCATACCGTAAGTAGGTACACCCAGACACACTAGAGGGCGCTGTTGATCCATTTCTGTTGTGGTCCAGCAGGGTGGAAAAGCTTGATTTTTGACATTTAGGCTCATGTTAAAGATGATGGCTCTGCGCTTTTTTTTCTTTTCCACTAGTTGTCAAGTCTTTAAGCAGACTAGTAATTAAAATCTGAAAATAGGGAAAACATTTTTAACACAACTACAGCAAGTGCCTTTTCAGAAAGAAAGGAAGCAGCTCAATAAAAAAAAAAATGAGTCAATTTAATGTAACTTTTAATTGTTGCACTATTCTTCCTTTTTTGTGAAAAAACTATAAGGTGGCTTTTATTATTTTATATTGGCCAACTAGCATCTGACTATTATAATCTTGATGATTAGACACTGTCATCAAATGTATCTAGTTGTACATGTCAGTAGAAGGAACTCCAGTCCATAATTGTCTAGGGATAGAGAAAAATGTAAGAATTATGACTTTTATAAATACATTTGTACCAGTATCCTTGTTTTTTTTTTTTTTTTATGAAATAAAAATGTTTTCCAAAGATTCTTTTTAACTCCTTCTCACACTGTTTGTTTCTTATCATGAAATTTCATTGGAACCTTGATGCTCCACAGCCCGTAAAATTAACACGTCTCTTTATGATTCTGTTACCGAATGGCACCATTCAGAAAAAGAGGCGTGTTGGAAGATAAAAGGGTTACTTATAGCCGTACAGATCAGCTCCAAGTCCACAGAGACACGGGAGCTGATTCTTATCAGTAAGCAAAGTGTAAAGTACTAAACGCGTTGGAAGCAAACATTTTTTAAAGCTATTAATTAAACAGCGAAAAGTGAAAGTTTACTTAGATTCTGCAACAAAGGACAAATTAAGTGTTTGTGACAGGAGAAGTATATGATAGAAAAGTTGTTACAAAAAAAGCACTTTTTATTCCAAAATCATTTAATAAATTGAAATAAATATTAGAAATGAGCTATAGAATTTAACATCTGTAGTGGGTTTTAAATGTGACACACCTTTGTAATAATTTAAGGTTTCAAATACTTCAAAATTGACAACATGATAACTTATTTTTCTCTTCAATTTAACAGAAAAAACATTTTAGAGTGTAAAATAAGAATAACCCAGCTGCATGACTTAGAAGAATTCAACCCACAGTTTGTTAAACTACCATTTAGTTTAATTTATGGCATAGTGTTCTTTCATATGATCAGTCTGCAACATTTTACCTTGGATATATTTAACAATTTAACCTTGGGAATGTTCTTTAAAATCTGTCAGATTTCATTAACTTCTTTTCTGGACACCCCCCATCAATTGTCCCCACTGGTTGTCTGTCAAGTTTATTCCAAAAGCTCAATTTTTCTTAACTGCAGCTATTATTTCGAAGACCTTGTTGCAAATTATACCAAGAGCCAAAGGCGGTAATTCTTCAACTTCTCTTTGCAGGTTTTGTTTATTGTTTCTTCCAACTTTATAAAAGTTCTAGTCATATCTGAAGGAATGTTATCTCAGATCATGAGCCTTCCACCACCATGTCTTACTGTTGGTATCAGGATACTTTGGTGGGTTGGTTTTTTATTGCTCAAATGTTTCAGTTCGGTTTTATCAGATCATAACAGATTTTTCTAAAAGATTATGGGAGGCTTTTATTGTCAGACCCAGGTTTTATATTTCACCACTCCTACTGTACTTAGTCTAAACATGTGGAGAACACAGCAGATGTGTCATTACATGTCAGGAAATATTTCAGACCCTTACCACAATGACTTATGTATTACTATAGATTTTTGACTGCCCAATTTAATTTCTCATCTTCCCTGTTTTGAAGAGAACATGCAGTTATATACAATATAAAAAGCAGAGGAGAGAAATCAGCATAAGTGAAGCACGAGGGGGTGTATCAGTGACGCTGATCTATAAAAGTCTAAGGATGCAAATAGTCATATGTTTGAGATATTCTGCCTTGTTATACAGGAATTATTGTTTTAAAGCCATTCACACAGCCTATACCTGTGTTGATGATTCAGAGAACAAGTGAGTTTTAACTTGTGGTATCAGAATAAGTGTCTCAGTGAAAATGCAGGTGCAAATGTAAAAAAAAAAAAACACGTATCATATCCTTCCATCTCTCCACAATGCAGTATTCCCTGTTTGGCCAATATGTACATAAAATCTGATACAGTACGTTTAAGTTTGTGGTGGCGATCCAAAGGTTTCCGATACCTGAAAGTATCAAAATAAAATGGCTGACAAGTTAGTTAGTGGAAAGTGTTGGCTTTAAGACAAGGTGGGGCAGATGAGAATATGGAAATGTAAAAATATACACAGCTTGTTTTAAACTTTGGTAAGAAGTTTCTTTGCTGTACATTGAGGTAAAAATCTTAAAAGAGCCTTAAAAACCCAGGTTATAAAACCTGGGTTTTTAAGGCTCTTTTATATAATTAACTTTTATATAAATAACTTTTTACTTGTTACATTTTAAAAAAAGGGTCTCTTAAGTTCATTATGTCGACTGTAATGCAGGATGCAATACCTTTTTATGGCCAGATGATGGTGTTAAAAGCATGTCATTTGAGAAATCTTAGTCATTAGACTGTGTGGGGGTATTTGTATTTGTTAGGTTTAGGCAACCTGTGGGGATTTATTATTTGGACCACTCAATTGGATCTTATTTAAAAAAAAAAAAAAAAAGGTGTGAATTCAGGTTAGGTTAGGGTTTGGTAAATGTTGGTAACTGTTAAAATTAGGGTAGAGGTCTAGGTTAGGCCATACAAACACATGGAAGTCAAGAACAGTCCCCATAAATCAGGAAAACTTTGGCTGCAGTTGTGCAGCCTCGCCTTTGGTGAAGGTATCTGACAGGCCTCCACAGTGAACTCACGTGGACCTCCAGTTTTAACCCGAACTGTGGTCAAAGAGGCTAGTCAGCAAATTATTAATCCCCTAAAATGTACCCTCTTTGGGATTAGCAAAGCTGCTTTTTTTCCTTAGTGTCATTTTTAAAAACTAGGTTTGTGTAATCTATGGAGGATTTCTTCAAACTTGTGAAGTGATCTAATCAATAAATCAAAGATTAAAAAAACAAGATCAGATTCACAAGAGTGCACCTAATAAGAAGCATCTTCTAAAGGGATTTTTTTTTTTCATTATTGTGATGTAACTTTAGTGGTACCCTGAGCCCCCCGCACAGTGAAAAGGCCCCAGAGTCCAGGTCAGACATTGGGTCAAAGTTCTCTCTCCCTCATACTTACAAACAATGGGAGGAAAAAAGCACTGCAAAGAAACTTCTAATGGATGAAGGACTCTTGTTTAGTGTTTAGAAATGATAGAGTTAGATAACAGTACACTGTGCTACAGCTTTCCTACTACACAGGTGTGTATACGCCTGTCCTTTTAGGGAAACATAAGTCTGCCACATCAGGCTTGATCTCATAGCTTGCTTTAAGAAGGAGTTTGGGGGCTTTGTTGTTTTTTGTTTTTATATAAATGTTTTATGCACCCCTTATTCCAGTGTTTTACATAAAAGATCTAGTTAGCAATGTTCAATATTTTTTGAAATAACTGCTTTGTTATAAAGTCTTTGGATGAACATTTCCAAATAAAATGAGTCCTGACCCACTTGCCTATTCCAATATGCAGCTTTGCTCCTCATCAAACAGAGCAACATTATTCACTTGATCACCTTAGTTTTATTTATGTAGCAAAGTATATGTGTTCCACATCAAAACAACCTCAAAGATGACAAAATAAAGGACTTAAGTACTGAAATTGGCCTCTCCCTAAACATGGAAATAAACACCTTATGGAAGAAGTACTATCACAGATTCAACTGTATTACCTTTGAATTGGCAATGGTGTACTTCACTCCAAAGCTTAATGATTTATTTAGTGCAAGCATGCAAAACTGCGTCACTGCCCTGAGTGTGGCCGATCCTATCTTCCTCTTGGTGGTTCACAGTTATGAACAACTATCTACTTCTTTATCCATCCCGACCCACAAACCAAAAACACACAGCTTAAATCACAGACTCTATCGTGTTTTCTAGCATTCTGCAATTTACCTCTGTCTTATTTATTCAACAAAGGGGCCACAAACTGGATTGTAGACCTTCACACAACTGGTTAGAGGCTTGAAGTAAATTCTAAAATTGCAGATATGATTACCACTAAGTGTAGGATTGAATATGGTCATGCATGAAAGAAACACAGAGAAAGAAAGAGGAGGGAAATATGGTGTGACACATCGACTCCTGTCTGAGTTACAGCAGTGGCTGAAACACCAGCTTAAAGATGGATCATGATTTCTGACGCAGGAGCTAAAAAAAGAGGTGAGGAGTACAGGAAAAAGTGCTAAAATGTGAGAATCTGCTGACAATCAAGAAACAAAAAAAAAAAGAGTTTCTTAAACATGATAAGTTGAAAACATAACCAGGGCTCAAAACATATTTAAGTGACTTAAACAAACACAGATGGCAAATACTTCAGAGAGGCTGTTGAATGAACACCTCAGCCATGGCCATTCTAGAGAAATCTGACTCGCAGATGGACACCAGGGGAGTGAAATTAAGTTGTCCTCTTGATATTTGAGACTGACACACATTTAGAAAAGCTTTGCAAATCAAACAACAAAGAAAACAGTGATTTCCTATCAATTTGTTT